TGGTACTGCTGGTGATGGTGGTTGAGAAGAATGAGCAAAGGGCAGGGTGCAAGTGGACTGATTGTTGCTGTCTAAACAGCTAGGAGGAGATGAGTTGAACTCAGAGTTTGATATTAGCATAGAGTTCTATTCAGGGGAGCAGCTAGGGAGTTGCCTATATCTAGGAACCATTTACCCAGGAAACTCAACCCTGTATATGAACCAGAGAAAAGGAATCTGGGGGTATTTTGGAGCCAGCTCAATCAGCTGGCTCAAGAGCCTATTAAATGTTCAGTGCGACCATTTACACCCTAGAACTCTGTAAACTACACGTTGGGGTTTGATTTATTATTTTGTTGATTGCTAGACTTAAGAAAGTGTTGGCAAAGCAGCTCACACTTTACAAAGTGGGCCACGCGAATACCACTAGAACTATTCAAACAAGGACATGCTAGGGGTGAGGATAATGAAGTATACTATGGCCAAGATTCATGTTTGCTTGAAGAGTTACTGTCTTCAAATAGCTGAAGGGCAGTCTTTTGGGAAGAAATAGATTTACCTGATCTATTGAGCAGAACTTGCACCATAGGTAGAAAGTGCAGGGAGAGGAGATCTGGTTCAATACAAGTAAGAACTATCTAGCCATTAATGCTGTCAAAAACCAAAAGAGGACCCCTGGTAAAACAAGGGGTTTCACTGTCTCTAGAAGCTCTCAATCAGTGATGAGATAGAGTTGATTCCTTCATAGGGTAAGAATTTTGATTAAATCACCTCTAAAGTTCCTTCTAGTTTTGAGTCTATGATATACCTTGTATTTATCCTGCATTTATCTTGCATACATTGTATATATCCTTCATGAATGTGGCTGAAGCAGGTTCTGTGGAGTGCTTAGAGCTTGGTCAGGTATCGAAGACCAAGGTCATCCACTGCATCCTAGGCCATCTCCAGTTGTCTTCACTTTTGTCCTGCAACTAGACTTCTGTGACTCAGGAAGAGAGAGTGAAGCTGACAACTTCGCACAACTCTACCTCACTTAAATCTAATTCACGTGCAAGTCAAGACATCACCTGTGATGTCATTGGTCCTCTTTGAAAATGAAGGACGAACAACAATTTTGTGTATTCCTATATATGTATATATGTGTTATCTCTCCAGTAGAAGCAAGGACTGTCTCATTGTTGTCTCTCTAACCATGGCACCTAACACATTGCCTGGCACATGGTAGGCACTTTATAAATGATTATTGATTGAATGATTATTCATAAAATATTGAAAAAATGATCTTATAGATACATTCTACCAGTGAAATTAGAAAGCAACTACTTATATCCTGAAGGCAGAACACTACAGTCAGAATTATACATGAGCATAACTACTTGCTACAAGAAGATGAAAAGAAATTTTTAAAGGCAAGGATTTTAGGCAGCAACACCCCCACTTTTATTAGCATTTCTCCCTTAGGCCATGTTTTTCCTTCAGTACCTCAGTTCCTTATCAAATATACACCTTCACCTTACCAGTCATTTGAATTGGAGTTAGTCTGTGGAAATAATTTTTGTACCAATAAATTTTGTTCCATTATAAAACAGCTGGTTACCTTCCTATTATTCCACAAACTGGCATGATGATTTACTATAAATACCAAAAAAGGGAACATTCCATTTATGCTAGATACTAGAAAAATGCATTTAATATCAAAGAGTCATTCTAGAAAGAACTATTAGAATCCACTACAAATTACTCCATAAATGTTTTTACCCTTAGAAGTTACTGGATAAATTGAACAAGTTTTTAAGGGAAATTGTGCCTTCACTTCACAAATATATCTACCAAGTTTCAAAGTAATACATTCCAACATTATCATACACTCCATTAAAAGAAGACTAAAAGACAATGAATAGAGAGGATGAATGAGTGATACATATTCATAATAGGTAAAGTTTAATCTCATACTTGTGAATATGGGAGTCAAGCATCTCCACACCAATCTCTGGATTTGAACTCAGGTCCTCCTGACTTCAGGGCCAGTGCTCTATCCACTGTGCCACCTAGCTGCCCCAAGTTTGTATCTTTTCGCTACTAATCCCTGAGAAATCTATGCTCCCACTGACTTCCATATTTTTTTCCCTAAAAAAAAGTTTTAAAATTTCAAATGCTCTACTTAAGTTATCTCTAATAAGTAAACTCTATCAATTCCTCTGGCTCTCATTTTGAGAAATATATAAATCACTTCTTTTTTTTTTCAGACTTGAAGTTGAATTATATTATTCTCTGGGCTGTTTGGCAGCAAATTATTTTCAGGATTTTGTCTCCTAGATTCTCTCCAAGAGGCTTTACAAAAAAAAAAAAAACAACGAAAGTTGTCTCCAATTTCTCTTATTTCTCTCTTTCTCTATCATTCATCTGTTCTCTTAGGCTGTTTCTCCACATATTGATACAGTTCCATGAACTATTCTGACTAACTTTGAGGCAGGGCAGGCAAGCTTGTTTGCTTGTTTTCTTAATTTATGTTGCTTGTCCCAAGTGTAGCATGTGGTATTTGCCCCTGGCAAGATTCCATTTGTGGCTCTAGTTGGTAGTAAGATCAATTATTAGCTTTATGTTGAGTTTGTAGAGTTTTTTTATGTGTAGTTGGAGGCAAACAACCTGCCCAGCAGATATTCTACATCCCCAGAGAGCACTGTGAGAATCCAAGGAGAAAATACATTGGGTCCCTGTAGTGATAGAAGTGTGAATTGCCTTGGTCACATGTGTTCTCCATATCTGTGCCTCCGTACTAGTGTTCCTGTGCACTCATTCTTCCAAATAACATTATGTGTGTTTCTGGAAGAATACAGAATACAGTCTAGGTTTATTGGGAGAAGGGGGAAAGAGTATATTATAGCTACTGTTTTTATGATACAATCTCAATAATTACTTTTATTTTGAGCTAAATGTGCCCTTTGACTATGGAAGGGAAATGAATCTATGGGGACTCGTGAAGTATATTTAGGAGTATAAACCCACAGAATTCTTGGCATAGTTATAACCCCAGAGGACCCAAGCCTTGAGTGAGACTTGGAAGGGTGGTCCAGAGGGGCCCCTACATTTGAATAAACATATAGTTATTCAGCATTAAATAGGGGATAAAATATAAAGCAATTTCATTTTGTCGGAGCTGTTAGTGTGTCTAAGTATTATTGATGGCAAACTGGAAACCACTGGTTATTTTTCTTCATTCACATGACTCACACTGGAATAATAGCTGACATTTTGAAAGTAGAACTTCACATATGGCATAAGTTAAAGTATTCATGCTCTGAATTTTATGACCTCATTAAAGGGAATTAAGACCTCCTCGAAGCTGTAATGCCAAACTCAAAGTATAATTTTAAAAAATTATTTGTGCATGCTTTACAGTTTTTTTCCTTTATGACTAAATGATCATTTGGAATTTCTTTAATTATTCTATATACATAGATTACTTAATAAGAAAAACTGTTTTTGACAAGTTCTGCCATATCTTGGAAATGAGCTCATGGTCCAATTCTGAAAATAATTAGTTTTCGTGCTTTAAGACAACTTTATGGATCATCTTTATTATTTAGTGAGAAACATATTTAGTTAATTATTGTGTCACAATATATATGTTGATGTTTTTCTTAAGTCTATGAAATAGGAAATTCCTGTTTTAAAAAAAAAAAGCTTTAAAAATCCAAAATAGAAGTTTTAAAAATAATCTTTTTAAAGTATACCTTTATTTTATTTTTTTTAATAATTCAGTGGTAATCTTACAGTTAGTCAAGTACTGCCTATATTTAAAAATTTTTAATGATAAATACAATTGGAATAAGGCTGAATCTTTGTCATCATTTTTGTTTTTTCTTTAACTTAATTTTCCATAATTCAGTTTCAAGTGAAAGTTGTTAGCAGATAAAAATGCAGGTCTATAAATTAGCATTATATTTCAATATTATCAGCAGTTAAGTCATATCAGGTCAGTCTTGCCAATATTTTATGGATTGAAATGAAACAGTATTTAGGTTAGCTATCAAATAAGCAATGTTACAATTGAACAGGTAGGGTGGGGGTATAAGCAGGGGTTGGTGCTGGTAGTCACTTGAGGAATGTTCTTATAGGTATGTCCTTTGGTTTTGAAAGCTCTTTTTCATTTTGGCAGTCATAAGTTTTTGTATGTATTTAGATGAACTGATTTCCCTGAAAGGTATGGTCAGAACGATTTCAGGATAAGTAGACATAGAGTCTAGGTCATTGTCCTATTGGTCACATTCGCAGCTCATTCTTAAATACGTGCGATTTCTTGAATGAACTTTGAACCATAAATATGAGACTCCAGATTCACCTGGGGTGGTTCAGGAGAAACAGAGTAGTAGGCAGAAATTGAACCTGACTGCCCCCAAAGGCGCAATGCAATCCATTTCCCATTTCCCCTTTTGAAATACCTATTTCTCTTAGTTTGGTGAATAATCATCCGAGCCCAACATTGCTATGTACTACCATAATTAATACCCTATAAAAACAAAAACAAAGAGAAAAATACTCTAGAGAGGTGAAAAAGTAGTTCTGTGAGTTTTTACAAAGTGATGCTTATTAGCTTGAGCAAACCATTTTCTGCCAAGTGAAAACAGTCCCACCTATAAATTCAGGAGGCTAAGGGTTTCCAGCCCTCTTCATTCCCTGGAACACAAGTTAAGAATCCATTAGCAGAATAGTTTGAAACTGCTAATGGACGATATGTGTCTTCTGGAGGATCAAGAGCATTATTACATTAAATAGCGTGTAGTTAGTAATGACTGCAAGAAATCCCTAAAGCAAAATGTCTGGGTGCCCAGGGGTTCAAAGAAAATGACATACTCTGTCACTAAGTATACCTACATATATCATAATTGCTTCTATTTCCCTTGACATGAAAAACAAAATGTTCTCCATATTTTCTTCTGTAGTGTTACCTATGCGTAAGAGAGGATGAGGAGCAGAATGTCTTATACAGAAAGGAAAAGTCAGGAAAAAGGAAAACTTACAGAAAGCAGTATTTGGATGGCACTGTGGATGACCTCCAGGTACTGAAAGTCAATCACACAGCCTGTCACCGAGACATAAGTGTAGTCATCCATCATTCCGTGAGCCGAAGGTGGTAGCACTCTCCGTACACAGCCTGGTCCGTGCTCTCGCCACCAAGATCGGTGCACTGAGATGTTAAATGTCATTAGGTCGGTATCCTGGGTAGTGAAGGGAGAGGGGAAAGATCTTGTTATATTACCATCTCGAATTCAGTTCAGAGCAAGAAATGTAATTTCAGTGTTTAATTAAAAACAGCGGGGGAAAAAGTGAAATGATCAGTTTGGATATGAGTTATTAACAAAAAAACCCTATGCATTCTATGTTTAAGCTATTGAGCTATAGTTATCATTACTCAAACTAATTATTTGAAGGAGAAGTAATAAAATATCAAGATCACAAGAAGTCAGGAATTAAAAGACTAGATCCTCTAGTTGTTTTATTTTAAAAACTGTTTTCTACATGCATATGAATGTTTGTGAAACAGTGCATATGATAGTATATCCACAGTATTGAGATGTATCTTAACAAGCATACTGGAACTGATACATGCAAATAACTCAAACTAACACAGCAGCTAATGGTACAACAACTCTATGAATATGGAAGGACTACTTTTATTATTCCTCCTTTACAGAAGAGGAAATTGAGTTTTTGAGAAGTTAAATTACAAGCCAATAACAAAACCACTGGTGAGTGGTGGAAACTGAATTTGAACCTAGGTCTGAATTGAAATTCAGCCCTCTTCCAACTATTGTTGTTCAGTCCTTTCAGTTGTGTTCAACTCTTTGTGACCCCATTTGGGGTTTTCTTGGCAAAGATACTGGACTGGTTTGTCATTTTCTTCTCCAGTTCATTTTACAGATGAAGAAACTGAAGCAAATAAAAAAGTAGCTTGCTTGGGATCACACAGCTAGCAAGTGCCTGAGGCCAGATTTGAACTCAGGAAGATGAGTCTTCCTGATTCCAGGCCCTTACTCTATCCACTGAGCTACCTACTCTTCCAACTATACCATGACATTAAAAGCCTAAAACTATTTACCCTGGAAGGCTGTATGATGCTCCCATCCTTTATATATATTTTGGCACATAATTCTTCAGAGTTTCTTTCAAAATTTGCATCACAGTGTTCTGAATATTTTCAATGGTAGCAAATACTCCTCTTTTGAACATGGATTTGAATTGGAAACAAACTAAAAAGTACCTGAAGGTGGTGTACTGCTGCATTAATAGAAAATTTCTAGATGAAGAGAATAGTGCAACTATGCTTTGCAATGATTAGATAGTATTTATAGTATTGTGCCCGTTCAAGATATCACATTTAAAAGGGACATTGACAAACTGGAGCACATCCAAAGCATGATGCTTTAGATTGTGCATGTTCAATAAATTATGTCATATGAGAAATGGTTGAGGAAGATGAAGTGTTTAGCCAGAAATCTTGGAGAGCAGTAAGCTCTTCTGCAGGATAAATTTTCTTTAACCATTATAACTTTTGAACAAAGGAACTGGCTGACTTCAGCAGCTTCAGTGGCAAGAGAGAAATTACTAGTTGCTTTGCTTTGTGGTCTAGGTGTTTCTTCATGAGGTGTACAGAAAAAAAATGCCCTCTCCTAGGCGTCTTTGCCTATTTGCTGGTAATCTCCTTGAGGGCAGGACTTTATTTGTCCCTTTATTTGTATCCTCTGCGCCTACCACAGTACCTGGTACTTAATAAATGTTTATTGAATTGAAAATTGAACAAAGGGCAAGTGACTTGCCCAGGATCACACACATAGTAAATATCTAAAGCTAGATTTGAACTTGGGTCTTCTTGATTCCAAGTTCAACCTGATCTTTTGTTTGCTCTCTCAGGTAGGTCTCAGAATAAATTTTATTTTCTCTATAAGGTTCTTTTACTTTAGACTTAGTTGCCCTTAACAGATGGAATGTAGCAGGTCTTTCCCTCTAGCCATTTCCCTAGTGGCAGGGATTCAACAGCAAAATTACTTTGATTCAGCTTAATAGTTCATTATCTGATAAGAATAAGTTTTGTGCTAAAAAAATGCATAAAGAGTAGATTAATACAAAGCAACATTTGGAATGTTTTTGTTTATCTTGTAAGCTACCATCTAAATCTAAATAGAAACATTGAAGGCAATTTGAGACATTACCTGATTTTTAATACAATAGAATATATTCTTTTTTTTTTTTTAGGCAATTGGGATTTAAGTGACTTGCCCAGAGTCACACAGCTACTTAGTGTCAAGCGTTTGGTCTGAGGTTGGATTTGAACTCAGGTCCTCCTGACTTCAGGGCTGGTGCTCTACCCACAACAGAATATACTCTTGTTATTGAATATTTTCCATTTTCACACACTGGGTAATGAAAAATGTGTTGTCTTATCCACTTTTCCTAATCTGCTTCAGAGCATCATTCTCATTAATTATTATGTCACATTAAATATTGTTTTTTTTTCTTAAGTCTGTTTATTAGAGGGGGAGCTAGGTGGCATAGTGGATAGAGCTCTGGTCTTGGAGTCAGGAAGGCCTGAGTTCAAATTTGGACTTTGACACTTACTACTTACTGGCTGTGTGACCCTGGGCAAGTCATTTAACCCCTATTGCCTCAACAAAAAAGAAAAAAAATCTGTATATTAGAGAATAAAAAAATTAAAAATTAAAAAAAAACTTTAAGAGTCAAAGTATAAGTTTTAAAAGTATTTGTTTTATCATAACTTTATTTTATCTTCATGATTTCATGATAATCTTATATCAAATTAAATAATGTTTATGTTTTAAAGTCTTTTAATGAATATTTACCATCTTTTCAACTTGACAATCTGTTTTAAAGTGATGAGAGATAATAGTGATAGCCCGAATAAAGTTCCTTTCTGCAGATTACTTTCCAACCAACTGAGGTAAATGTAGATGGACCCATTGTCTAGTACTTTGTGTTGCAAATAATAGGTATGATCTTCTATCGTTGTGGCAGAAAATTTAGGTAGACCCAGCAATAGTTAGATGCCCTAAGAGGCGTCTTTCATAACCAGGAAGTTTTCCATCTGTAACAATTCTACAAAATCCATATGAACTCTTGACCTAAGTTTTCTGGTCATCTCCCAGCAACAGGTGAACTTTCCTTGCTTATCCTCCTTCTATTCTATTTCAGCCCTTCCTATTCTTCAGCATGGTTTAGACAGAGAGCTTGGTTTACTTGATAGAGTACAAGTCCCTGCTCAGACCTCTTTAAAATGGGGATAACAACAGTATCTGCCTCATAGAATTGTGGTGAACATCAAATGACATACTTTAAGTAGAGCACTTCTATAAATGTTAAAGTGTTATATAAATGTGAAATATTATCATCATCTCTTGTAGCATACATATGATTACGTATACATAATCGGCAGCTAGGTGGCCCAGTGGATAGAGCACAAAGCCTGGGATCCTGTATCCCCAGAACCTAACACTGTGCATGGCACAGAGTAGGCACTCAGTAAATTTTTGATTGACAAGTGTTCATCCTGCTTCTGCTTGAATCAGCACTGAGCAGGGCACTTTTCCCCCAAAGTTAGCATTAATTACATGCATGTGGAAGGGAATAGAATTGAACTGCACTGTACTGCGTTGCACTGAAGACTGGAGATGTTCATGAATTATGTTGAATAACTTGTCATATACTTTACTCTTTGGTAGAGGTGGCAATATTAGAATAAATTTTAAGCTCACAAGACATAGCTTCTAGGCAAGCTTTCCTGACTGGAGGTGCTTAGTTCTCACTGGGATGCTTCCTTGAAGTTCATCTTGGAGGAAAGAAGACTAGAGGATTCGTGTCAGGTTGGAAGACTTCAGGGAGCCCCTTGTGCCCTTTCTTAGGACAAGAAGGATTTCCTAGAGTTTTTTAGGCTCTGGATCTGAGATTTATTCAATTCAGGAGGCAACTGGTCCCACAACAGACAAAGAACTGAGCTTGGAGTCAGGAAGACCCCAGTTCAAATCTGGCCTCAGAAACTTAGCAGTAAGTGATTTGGGCAGCTCACTTAACCTCTGTCTGCCTAATTTTCCTCAGCTATAAATGGGGATCGTAATAGCACCTACCTCACAGGGTTGTTGTGAAGGCCAAACGAAAGAATATTTGTAAAATGCTTAATACAGTGTCTGGCACAAAGTAGGTGCTTAATAAATGTTTATGCCTTTACATCCCCTCAGCAAATATAAAAGTAAAATCAGGAAATACAAATGTAAAGCAATCAACTAGTATTTATTACATATTTATTAGGGGCTAGGCACTATGCGAGGCACTTGGAATACAAAAATAGAAAAAATAGCTCCTTCCCTCAAGGAGCTTATATTCTACTGGGAGCTAAAACACATGCATATATTTCAGTTGTTCAGTCATTTTTCGGTTATGTCCAATTCTCTATGACCCCATTTGGGGTTTTCTTGACAAAGATACTGGAGTGGTTTGCCATTTCCTTCTCCAGCTCATTTTACAGATGAGGAAACTGAGACTTAACTGAAGGTTAATGACTTGCCCAGGGTCACACAGCTAGCAAGTGTCTGAGGCCAGATTTGAACTCAGGAAGATGAGTCTTCCTGACTCCAGGCCCGATACTCTAACCACTGCTCCACCTGGCTGCCATGCATATATAAGAATATAAAAATAAGACACAAGATAAATTCATAGATAAAAGATTTTTTAGTGAGGGGAAAGCATTTGTAGCTAGAGGTTTAGGAAAGATTTTGTATAGGAGATGACATTTAAGCTGATCTTTGAAGGACACTAGGGATTCTTAGAAAGGGAGGTAAGGAAAAAGTATATTTTATGTAGTAGGAAAAGCCCATGCTCAGGCTCAAAGAAGAGAGATGGAACATTACATATGAGAAAGAACAAGAAAGCCACTATGACTAGACCACTAAATATGTGAAGGGGAGCAATATAAGACTGTAAAGGTAGGTTGGAGCCAAGTTGGAAAGTCTTAAATGCTAAACAAAGGAATTTGTAAATATAACCAGATCTGCTTTTAAAGATGTTGCTTAAACATTTTTTTCTGTTGATTTCCCCCATGGATGCCTCACAGGTATATTTTGAAAAGAACGCATTTTAGAGACATGATTGCATTATCTACTAAATTTAGCTTAACTTACAGTGATTTACTCCAAACAAACTTCATTTAGTT